AATTTTTCTAGCACAATTTGTTGAAAGGACTATCTTGTCCCTTTTGAAATGCTTTGCACCTTCTTCAAAAACTAATTGACTGTGTAATATGTATGTGTGTGTGCATATGTCTATTAGCCTATTTCTGAACCCTGTTGTTTCACTGATCTTTATGCCAATATCATACTGTCTTAATTGTTGCTGTATCATAAATCTTGAAATCAAGTTGAAGTCCTTCTAGTTTCCTTAGTTGCTCTCAGCAATATTTGCAAGTGCAATGGTCTTGGGCATATTTTTTTAAATTCATCCTTGAGTATTTCATGTTTTCTGGTGCTATTGTAAGTTGTACTACTTTTTAAAAAGAAAAACACTTCTCGTTTCCACTTGTTTGTTGCTAATGTATCCTTTTGGCTTTTAAAAAATATTTCCTGGGAGGTTTTTCAGATCTGTCTTTCAATACGTCTATTGACTTTTAAAAACTGTAATTAAAAACTTTTAGTGTGATAAAAAATACACACAACAAAATTTACCATTTTAGCCATTTTTAAGCACACAGGTCAGTACGCTGGGGCACATTCACACTGTTTTGCAGCCATCACCACTGCATGTCCATGACGCCTCCATCATCCCACATTTTGTTCCTCCTGCCCCCCTTCCACTTTCCTTTTTGTCTCTGTGCTGATCTTCTAGGGAACTCATGGAAATGGAATCATGGTCTTTGTCGGTAAGAAGTCTTCAGTTTAACCATGTTGTAACATATATAAGAATTTCATTCCTTTTTTTTTTAATTGAGAGAGAGAGGAAGGGAGAAGGGAAGAGAGAGGAGGGGGGGGGGGGGGGCAATTCTCGCCCTTATCCACCCAGAAGGTGACCACTTGAGCTACTCAGTCAGAGCTGCATTCATTTTTAAATGCTGAATAATACTCCATTGTATGTATAGACCACATTTTGTTTTTCCATTCATGCACTGATAGACATTTGGGTTGCTTCTACCTTTTGATGGTTGTGAATAATGCTGCTATGAACATAAAATTAGTTTTAATTTATAAACTCTTTTATGTTCTTTGATAATTTCATTTTTGTTTTTTTGTTTTATAGAACATTATTTTCTATCTCCGTCTAAATATTATAGTTTCTTTGATGTTTTTTTCTTTTCTCTGTATGTCTCTGTTTTCTCGAGTTCCTTTTTCTGTTTGGTTTCATTTTTAGCTTTCATTCAGGGCTTTTGTCAAATGTCTGCTGGTTCTGATGTTTTGTTTTATGCTTCAGAGTAAAGTATTTAATAAATGGACTGGAAGGCCCCTGGGGAGAAGGGAGCAGGAGGGGCGGAAAGGTCTTTCCACTGGGTGAGTCCAAAGGCCAGTGTTTTGGGGAGTTTTCACTGGCACCACCCATTTGTTGTTTCTCCACAAAAGGACCCTCCAACTTCCTGCCTGGGGGAGATGAGGTGCTGGGACGGCAGGGGTGTGCGGAGCAGTGATGGTGGGGCTGCAGCGGTATGTTCAGGCTTTGCTGCAGGCTTCCTGGGAGCCGGCAGGGGACGTGAGGGCCAAGGGTTCACCTTTACTTAGTCCATTGTCTTCCGTCCGGCACCTCTGAGGGCGGAGCCTCTCAAGGGTTCTGTGGCACAAAACGACTTTCTTCTATTTGACATTGTCCCTGAGAGGTATCTAGGTTGCAACTTCATACGATCTTCTAAGTCAGTCAAATGGCTCCTCTATATGCTTTTTGTCTTCCTAAAATATGTTGAAATATTGTATCCACTGTTGTCCCCTCTTTTCTTCTCTTTGGCCTTGTTGGTTCTGTTTATTGCTTTACTGACATTTTACTAGGGTTTTAGGATGGAGAGGAAATGAACACATAATATACCATATTTAACTTAAAAGAGTAAATAGCATTTATCACTGACAAAATGTTTACAACATTTCTTTTACTACTGAGTAGGAAAAATTTGCACTCAGGATAGTAAGACCTACAAAATGGGAATGCTAGATCACAGTAACTTGGTGGTAACAAGAGAAAAATGAGTTTTAAAAAAGACAATGGCAGGGCAATATTCTATAGCATTTGTGGGTGAATGTGTTTTTGGTTCTCTGGAAATTATAGAACAACTTGAAGATGAACAATATAGATCTGTTGAGTTTTTAAAAAATCTTATACCTGATAAATACAGAGGTAGTATATAAAAGAATCATTCTAGTTAACTTTGTAATTTAATGGAGCTTGTATAATCTCTTACTGCTTTACTTCCAGCTTTTTCCTTCTCTTTAGCGTCTCCATTAACAGGTGGTTAGTCACAGGAAGAGGCAAAGTTCACTAGGCAGTCCTGTTCATCACTGGCTAACAGGCTGGAGCTCCCAGCCTAATGAGAGTTTAAGGATGGTTTGTGGCTCAAGTGCTGTCTCTTCACTATAGATGACTTAGGCTAAATATAACTATATTGAGCACTGGCTGGAGCGCTATCTTGAGTTCTGAGTTTACTATTTAAGGTGGATGGAAAAGAGAAAATGAGCACTTATAATAACTAAAGAACTGGACCTATGAAGAAAAGCTAAAGGGAGTTATTTGGTTTTATTTTTGATTTAGTTTGAAAAGTAAGGGTTAGATGGAAATAACATTATTCTAGTATGTCCAGAGATGTTTCACGTTGATGTTTCCCAGAGCTCCAAGCTGGGCCTTTTCCCTCCCACGGGTAGCCACAGTATCCATCAACCGACTTGCTTACCTCCTCCCCCACCCTCACCAATTTCCTCAGAACTTTACCCTAGAAACCTAACCAACAGGTTTAGGTACCTGCTCTCCAGACTAGATCTAAGCTCCTGCCCTAGCTTTCCACCTGCCTTGCTATTTCTACTCCAGTATTCTTCAGGCATTGCAAGTTCAATGCATCTAAAAACTTAGGTCATTATATTCTCCCCAGCATCACTCACCAATTCTGTGCTCCTGTCCAGAAATTTCTTCATTATGGCAAAACTAATTTACCTTGTCACCTAAGCTTAAACCTTAGAATAAACTTTCTTCTTCTTTTTTATCAGCTCCTCTATCCTTTTAGACACCAAATTCTATGAATTCAACTTAAAAGTTTTTCAAATTTACTTCTCCTACTTCCTATTCTATTAGTTTATGTTCTTGTCATCTTTTGCCTGAACTACAAGCAGTAATTATGTTTCACTTAAACCACAATAGATATAATAAAGTTATTGGGTAAAGCTTACCCACAATACTGTGGGTAATTGCATCTTAAACATTCTTAATTTTACTCTATGCCCTTAATCCTCTGTCAATGTATTTTGTAAATTAGCAATCAGGTCATCTCACCATCCTGCTTAAAGACCTTTAATAATTATTTTTTTAATAGAATAATGCCTGTACTCTATAGCATGGCATCTGAGACCCCTCACAGTCTATACTTAGCCTGTGTTTCTGGTTTTTATCCTCGGTCACTTGCTATCTCTCTAGCTATACCAGCTGTCTCTACGCCTTGAATCCGTGTTGCTGTTTCACTCCTCATTGTCTCTGTTGTTGCTATTCCTCCTTCCTGAGATGTTTTTCCTTCTTTCTCTAACTTAAAAGACTAAGTATTAAATCATCTTATGAAGATTTCCCCAAGTCCTATTGGAATATGTCTGCCTGTCTATTGTACATATATAATATATATCCCTATAATACATATGTACATGCACACATATAGAACATATATGAATATACACAAATGTATACATACCTATGTATTCTTATGTAAACTAGATGATATGTTCGTTGATGTAGGATTATTTACTCTTTAGTATCAGAGCCTAGATGCTTCATAAATTTTAGCTGAATAAATTGTTTATTCTGAAGATAGTGACCACCTGGTTTCTATTTCCATTTATGATAAAAAATTTTATCCTTAAATATTTAAGTATTAGGATGAGTGGTTTATGTACTGGAAGGAGTTATTTACAACTCATAATTTTGTGAGCTCTTTTCTGTGGTTCTTTTTTCTCATGAGGACAGATTTTCTATTTGTCTAAGATGATTTAAGAATTATTTTGGATGGATTTGTACTGCTGGATCCAAATTAATTTTCTGCTGGATCAAAAAATAGTTTTTCTGCTAGATCAAAATAAGTTTCATCAGAGAAGTGATACATACATATTGAACCAGCCTGAGGGAATGTGCCGTTAAATGCAGGGGGCCCTGGCAGGTTAAAGGAGAGGGCTCAGGTTCCACTTTAATTATGACTTTCATTTGCCTATTATGTGATTTCTGTTTGACACTTTAGATTTTAATTTTAAGTCTAACACTGTCAAAGCATAAGTAGCATAGCCGAAGATGTTGATTTTATAATATCCATATCTCAATTCTTATTACAGAATGAACTTAGAATAAGTCAAGATTTTAACCAGGACTATGAATTGCATTTCACAAAAAGCTACATTTCATGAAATCTAAAATCCTAGTGAAATGGTAGGGACAATGGTGGTAGCAAGCTGTTAATTTTCCCTCAAGGTGCTGAAATGATGTTTCAGTCTTTTTTGAATACAAAGATTAAATGTAACTCAGTGGTTCTTTTTTACACAAGCATCTTTCAGTAGGCAAAAAAGCTATGGTGCATAGCTCTTGAAACACATTCATTAGGAATTTGCCTCTCATATTTCTCCTATGGTTGCTAAACCCACTCTTGGGTCTGTACCCTTCAATATGTAGACTAGAGTATATCCATCCTGTGCCTTTAACCCTTTTGGGGGGCATACATCATGCAAGGACAATTGACCTGCTCTGTGTATAATAGATGAGGTGTCAATTCAGCATTCCGCAATAAGCTATACTACTATAGAGTCGGAACGGGCTATTCCCCTAAGCAGTAAGTCTCCCTTTATGAAAATGCTCACGCACATTTGTGCCTGATTTGTTTGGTGCTGCATTCCCATGTCTTGAGCAGTGCTTGGTGCAGAGTAAGTAGCCAATAAATATTTCATGTACGAATGAATAAAACACAAAACAAGCACAGAACAGATGATGTTTCAATTAGCTTTTGCTGTGTAATGAATCATCCCAAAGGTGGTAGTTTCAAAGAACAGTGATTCATTATTTTTCACAATTCTGTGGATTGGCTGGGCAGTCTGAGATGGCCTCACGTTCCTCACATCAGCTCCATGGGCCGCCAGGTGTCTCTCCAGGTGTCTATCATCTTGGGCCTTAGCACTCCAACAGCATGTGCGTGGAAGCTGTAATGTCTCTGCTGGTTAGGCTTGAAACTCATTTCCAGAGCATTCTCTTGGTTAAGAAATGTCATAAGCCCAGCTTGGAAGAGGTGGGGAAATTGACCCAACTTTTTGATGGGAGTTGTTGCAAAGAGCAGAGCTTGAGGCCATTTTTAATCTACCACAAATGATCAAGTTAAAAAAAAATTCTGTAGGAATATGACTGAACCTGTAAACCCAGGCACGTGCCCTCACCAGGAATCAAACAGGCAAACTTTTGCTTTGTGGGAAGACACCCAACAAACTGAGCCACACCAGTCAGGGCTGCAGGGAATTCTTATAATGGGAGGGACATTGGTCAGTCTGACCTTCCAGAGTCCTTCCAACTCTGAAATTCTATGATTCTGCTAGGCTGAGCGGATCTCTTACAGGGTTCTAAAAGAGAACAATTATTACCCGAGGTATCTGAAAACTAATCTTCTACATCTGGTAAGAAAATTGCCAAAATAATTCATGGAATAATTATTTTCTGTTATTATGACCTAGAATTTATATTCCTCTTTTTTACCATTTCAAATACCCACCAGAATTTTCTTATTAGTGAGAGGGATATTTATACCTAGTCACACTAATTTGTAACTTTACTTTTAATTCTGGCATAATAGCAACATTTTCCTTTATGTTTTTTGTTGTCCATTCTATGAACATTGGATAAACTCTTTAATCTTCTTTTTTACACTCTTTCTTTTTTAAAAAAGATTTTATTTATGTACTTTTAGAGAGAGGGGAAGGGCAGAAGAAGGGGAGGCAGAGAAACACTGGTGTGTAAGAGTGAGAGCAATGGTTTGCCTTTGCGTGTGCCCAGCACTGGAAACCCAGGCCTGTGCCCTGACTGAGAATTGAACTGGCAACCCCTTGCTTTGCAGAACAATGTACACACCAGTCAGGGACTCTTTACTTTTATTCATCCATCAAACACTTAATTTTTAAGACTTCACTGAGATCAATAATAGAAAATTCTTATATTTTTTTCTGCATCAGAGGAGAGTGCTTATATTACTGCCTTAATATTTACTGCTACTTACTGTTAAAATTGCAAATATACCATTCTTCTGTAATTTTTCTTTTATGACACTTTTAATAAAGATATTTCCTTGTGACTATTTTAGTAATAGACTATACACAGATATACAAATGCAGAAATATCATATAAGCAACTTGCAAATAACTTGAAAACCCTGTGTTCTATTAAGAAGCTTCAGCACAATCATAGTGAGAAAACCAGTCTGGGGAAGACTGAACTTCTAATAGCTAAATTGTGACAACAGAAAAAGTTCACACCATAACATTTTGCTAGTATATTTTTATTTGTGTATGCACTTACACTTGAAAATCATGCCTGTGTTTGATCATTTTTGACAAGTATTTGAAAGTTTGGCATTTCAAACTTATCATTGTAGTAATGTTTTGTTTAAATTTTTTAGTTTGGCATTAAATCTCCTGCCTCTAAATTCTACACTGATACTTCTCTCTTCCTATATTCTTCCCAGGCCCTCAAACAAATCACAAACAAAAACTGATAGCAAGTCATAACCATTTTGTATAAATAAAGCAAATTTATCTTTGTGGGGTTGATATGGCAGGTGTTGAATGTACTGTTGATGATTAACCTGATGAGGTTACATTGCCAGGAAATCTTATTATATCTTTCCCTTTAAGGAATTAAAAAACTTGATTCCTTAGTTTTGCATTTACAGAAAAATCAAACAGAACAGTTCTCATCTACTCCCATGTCATCCCCCTATCCACAGTTTCCCCTGTTACTAATATCTTTGTAACAACATATTGATGTGTTACAAGCTGTGAATCAAATCGATATGGTATCTGCTAAAGTCCACAGTTTACATTAGGGTTCTTTCCTTGTGTTGTACAGTTCTGGGAGTTTTGCCAAATGCATAATGCCATGTACCCTTCCCTCATCACTGTATCACACAGCACAATTTCACTGCCCTAAAAATCTCCTGTGTTCCACCTATTCATGCCTCTTCCCTCCCCCAGCCCCAGCCTTTCCTTTTTAACACTCTAATTAAGTGTAGGGTAATATTAATTAGTTGGAGCTAAGAATTTGCTTAAATAACCAGTGATTCCCCATGGCAATCAAAGTTTCTTAATCATTAATTTAGAGTAGCACTATCCCACAAAAATACAGGGTCCAGCAGAAGTAACGCCTGCTCGAGTGTGGTTGGTAGAGTAATAACATGGGTCTAATAATTTATAGTTTTAATTTGAACATTTCACCTAAAATGTCATATGGTGTGCTTGAGTATGATATTGTTATGATATAGAATTATACGCTTGTGATTTTGTAATAAAAGATTTTGTCATAAAAAAGGGGCATTATTTGTACTGGACCCTGTATAATGTGAGTCATATATGTGTTTAAGATTTCCTAGAAGCTGCATTAAAAAAAATTAAAAAGAGCCTGGGTGGTGTGGCTCGGTGGAATGAATGCCGGCCTGCAAACCAAAGGGCTGCCCGTTCTATTCCCAGTCAGGGCACATGCCTGGGTTGCACATGCAGGTCCCTAGTTGGAGGTGTATGAGAGGCAACCACACATTGATGTTTCTCTCCCTCTCTTTCTCCCTTTCCCTCTGTCTATAAATAAATAAATAAATAAATAAATAAATAAATATTAACAAAAAATTTTAAAGTAAAATGAAATTAGATTAATAATCCCAATGTATCCAAAAATATTATCAATTCTAATATGTAACCAATATAAAAATTGAGATTTTTTTAATACTCTAAATCTAATGTGCATTTTAAACTTAAAGTACACCTCATTTCAGACTAGTCACATTTCAAATGCTCAACAGCCACAAGTAGCCAGTAGCTAAGATTGGACAGTGCAAGCTTGGACTATGAGCAACTTGAAAGCAGGTTATCCTCCCCGCTCCAGGATCTCCAGATTAGGCCTGCAGTATAAAGACCTTTGGAAGGTATATGAGAAAGATAAAAGGGCTCTCTAAACCTCTGGGTGTCCATCCTTGTGTGTCCTGCAACCACTATCTTTAAACTCTCCAGTTTTGGAAAAAGTGGAACGGGAATCATGCTCATTCTTGCATATCAGATAAATACTAGGCTGTCTGAGTCCCAGAAAGCCTGAATCATCTGAAAGTTGACTCATGAGGCTAAGGTGACCGAAATGTAATATGAATCAAAGTTGCCTTCCAAGACATCATTCCGTTTCCATTTTCTCTCCCCGCTCCCTCTCTCTTCGGGTGACTCATCCTCCCACCTTGGAGAGTCCAGCATCCTGCAGATCTCAAAGTTCTCCTGGAAGGAGATGAGCGGACTTTCAAAGGGTCCCGCCCAGATCCCCAGATGGTGCAGCCCAGTTCTGTTTTGCCTACCTCATGCAGGTTGTGCAGTTTAGACTGGGAGTGACCTTAATCCTGTCAAGAAAATTATTTTTTTCTTTTGAGGTGGTGATGGTAGTAGCGATGAGGTGTCCTGGGAATTTAAGTTTGAAAAAATACATAATTTTTTAAATTTCAAAATCTTAAAACGTTATGTGTATTGCAACCCTTAGGGCCTACTTTACAATGCCGTTAGTTAGTACCTTTGTCCACTCTGGGTTTTTTCCTTTCCTGGGAGGAAAGTTTCCACTCCTAGTCCCCAGGATAACAACGCCCTTCCGGTGCCGCGCCGTAAACCCCTCCTGCCCCTCAGTGCAGGCAATTGGCTCGCTTAGCAAAAGCCGTACTCGAACGACAGCCAGGCCTCCAGCCGTGTGCAAGGCCCAGACCCAAGCCCCCATCCTCAACTATCCAAGGTAGAGGGTGGGACTGCCAGTTCCAAACCCCGCCCACCGAGCCCTACGCAGCCGGTAAGAGAGAGGAAGCGTAAGGAGACCCACCTACTTTCGTGTCTTTTCCTTCCCGTTGGGCCGGTTGGTTGTCCTTCGTCTCTGCCCCATAGCCAATTGGCTCCCTCCCTCCCGCGCCAGCCCCTGCCTGCTGGGGGCGGGGTGGCGGGGCGGCGGGGCGTGCATCACGCCAAACTGGGCGGAGAGTCTGCTGGCCTCTCTCCTTCGCTGGTTTGGGCGGCGGCGGCGGCAACTGGGGACGGGGCGGGTGGCGCATCACGGGTGCGGAGGCAGGAGCAGCAGTCTCATTGTTCCAGGAGCCGTCGCCTCTGCAGGTCCCTCGGCTCGTTCCGCCCTGCCCCTTTCGGTCCTCCCCAACCCCCACAACTGCCCGTGGCTCTAAAGAAAAGCGCTCCGGGCGGCAGCGACAGCTGCAGCATCATCTCCGACCTGCCAGCCATGGAAGACATGGACCAGTCGTCTCTGGTCTCCTCGTCCTCGGACAACCAGCCCCGGCCTCAGCCCACGTTCAAGTACCAGTTCGTGCGGGATCCGGAGGAGGAGGAAGAGGAGGAGGAAGAGGAAGAAGATGAGGACGAGGACCTGGAGGAGCTAGAGGTCCTGGAGAGGAAACCCGCTGCTGGGCTGTCGGCCGCCCCAGTGCCCACCGCCCCCGCCGGGCCCCTGCTGGACTTTGGCAATGACTTTGTGCCCCCGGCGCCCCGGGGGCCCCTGCCAGCCGCGCCCCCGGCCGTCTCGGAGAGGCAGCCGTCTTGGGACACGAGCCCCGTGTCGTCCGCGCCATCCATACCCACTGCTGCCGCAGCCTTGCCCTCCAAGCTCCCTGAGGACGACAAGCCTCCGGCCCGGCCTCCCCCTCCTCCCCCGGCCAACGTGAGCCCCCAAGCCGAGCCCGCGTGGACCCCGCCAGCCCCGGCCCCCGCCGCGCCCCCCTCCACCCCGGCCGCGCCCAAGCGCAGGGGCTCTTTAGGCTCAGTGGGTGAGTGCCTATCCCTCCTGCCTCACGCAGCCGCTCGCGCCCCTCCCTCTTTTGTGTGCAGCCCCTGCTGCTCCCGCGGAGCCCCCCTTTCTGCCCTCCTCCGGCTTTGTCTGCGGACCTTGGGGCGAAGGCGCCCTCCCCCACCCTTATGGGAACCACGGGGAGCTGGGTGGGGCGGCGGTGGAAGCCGGGCTTGTTTTTTTGTCTGTCGGGGTATCGGGGAACACGTGCACCCGCCCTCTCCCAGGTTCTTCCCTCCTGTCTTCATTCCACTGCGTCCCGGAAGTTAGGCACCCACCCACCCCTCGTAGGATCTGGGCGTGTATCGAGGAACTCAGGTTGTAGAGTCGTTGGGCGGGCTTGGTTCTGGTGTGAGGATGGAAAGACCTGGGCCCCTTAATCTTTTGTTTACCCGCCTGGGTTGCTCCTTGGGAAAAGGCGCAGTTTCGCTGCTAGTCTTCTTGCCTACATTTAGCCCCAGCCCTCACCCTCATCCCTTCCTTGGTCTGGGCGGCCGTCAAGCGTTTCACCTCTCTTCCCCTCCTCTTGCCCTGGTGTGGAGCTGGCCCATTGGAAAATGTCCACAGTGACCCAACTGCAATGAAGGGAGAGCGCCTCCAGTGGTGTGGCGCGTGGAGAATTGGGAAGGAGAGAGTTCTGGCGACGTTCTGCCACCGCCCAGTTTATCTGCACCAGCTAAACCGCGCCTGGGAAATGGGGTCTGGGCATTGTGTTTCGAGGGAGCGCTGTTTTGCCAGGGCCTCAGCTGCAGAGCAAGAGGAATTGCAGTTAGTGTGGACAGGTTTAGGCTATTAATGCATCATAATTGAGGCCAAAGGATTGATATTCTTAAAGAAGGGAAACCTGTGGATTCCTTTCCGGGAATAGGCCAACTAAACTTGAGGCAGACTTAGCATGAGACTTAATGAAGTATTTTGAGACAGGTTTTCATATACTGATTAAGCTTTCTTGAAAGTTAAGTTGTAAATCGACTGAGACATTTGCATAATCTGTAAATAGTCTTCAAGTCTTTTCATTCACGAGTAACTGATGGTACAGGATTAGTTTCTTTTTAAGAACATCTTCGGAAATTATTTTAGGAGATAAAAAACTCAGAGTTTAACTTATTAGGCAAATTATTAACTTATTAACAAGGAGCTTCTTTTGGGGCAGAAAATGTCCCAGGAACAGTAGGACCTTTATGTATAAAAGGTCAAGAATCAGGATTCGAAGCCTTGTAGAATTTTAGAAATGGTTTGTTTTCTAGAAAATCAGTCTGAAGTCACATTTTTTCTTCCATTCACTCCTGCTTGACAATGGGAAAAGAATTGTGATGTTTCATTTTAATATTGACATCCCCCAAAGCATGACTCAAAACACTATTTACAACACCAGAAAGATTAGAAGATGAGGATGTCTCAATCTTCCCTTTTCTCTGAATCAGAATCACAAGTTGAGGTAGAAAAATACAAAGTAACAAGAAATATGCAGAAGGAAGATTTAATGGTTAACAAAAGCATACTAATTTGTCATCTTACATGCCTGAGTGGGAACAAAGAGAAGGGTTATTTCTTTGGGCATCAGAGGTTCAAGAGATGACAGCATTCTCTTGGAATTTTGACTTTTGGAATAGTAGTGTAGAAGACAAAGAGACGACAGTATTGTCTTCCCAGGGACTCTGTGTGGTTCCCTAGTTCTGTATTCATACCTATCTGGAAACTTTAGGTCCTTGAATTTGATTATGGTCATGGGTATGTAAACCATTTCAGTGAGTCTAGGTTTCTTTTAATCGTTCATTCAGCTGATTATTGTTTCTCTGCCAAGAGATATAGGCACTGCTGGGTCATGAGGGTATAGCAGTAAGATACATGTGCTCCCCACGGGGGTAGTTGTAAGTACTGGGTTGGCCAAAAAAGTCTTGTCTGTTTTTTTCCGTAAATGACACATTTTTTATTTTCACCAGTAACTTCATTCATTTGGATATTTTGAGTATGTTGGCTGTTGGCTGTCTCTCACGTGGAATAACATTGATTGTTCTCAGCAATGTCTTGATTTGATCTTATCAACCTCACTTGGTTTACCTGACCCTAGAGCATTGTCCAGTGAGAAATCTCCAGAACAAAACTTCACAAACCACTTTTGACTGGTTCGATGAGTCACAGCACCTTCTCCACACACTGCACAAATCTCTTTTTGTGTTTCAGTTGTGTTTTTACTTTTCTTGAAGTACTAAAGCGTGATATGTGGAAAATGCAGCATATTTTCTTCCATCTTCAATATTAAGATTGCTACATAAAAATTCTCCAATTTGGGTATTTTTTAAATGTGTGCTGATATGACAGCTCTCACAATATAACCTAGCAAAATTGTTTCCAATGAAGTAAAAGACGATAAGTGCTACTAGAACCATCTTACAGACAAAAACAAATGAATTTAGTTGGCCAACCCAACACTTAAGTGAGGAACTCAGAATAGTGGTGTTATGAGGAAAATAAACAGGATAATGGTATGGAAAATGACTGGGATGTGTGGGGGCCTTTGTAAGGCCTTTCTGAGGAGGTAAGATTTGAATTGCAATAAAAAAATTTCCAAGCAACTCTTAGGAGGCAAAAACCCTGAGGCAGGAATGAACTTGGTCTGTTTGAGAATCTAGTTGGAAATACTAGTGAGAAGAACTAGGAAGAAGAGAGAGGTAGGCTGCACTTAAATCTCTAACAGTCCAGGGTAAAAAGATTGGTTTTTAAAAAAATGTTTACATTGGAAATATGCTCCTTAAATAACTGATTTTGAAGCGAAATAAAATTTTGAAGATTTAGAAGAACTGAGAGGGCTGATGGGAGAATGTAAAGGTGAGGGGAGAAATGTGTGGAGCTTGGTTAGGAACAGACCAGCCTGATTGGAAGAGGGTTGATCCGTGACACTTGGGTGTTTAACGTTGTCGTTCACGTTTTTTGTGTAAACTCTGATTTGCTGTTGTGCTCAGAGCATCCTCATTGTAAGGCAGTAACTGAAGTGAGACCAAAGCCACCCTCATCATGACCATTTTTCACTCAGAACAATTGGCTTCAGGTTGTGGAGGTGGTTGGTTGGCCTACACCTTGAGGAAATACGAGGGAAACTGGGTAGAAAGTAGGTTGAGAGAAATGCAAACATCATTAAGAGTTGCATCAAACTGCTCTCTGGACATATTCTGGACCAGTGTTAATTAAGATAGAAGTGTATGTTAGGTCTGCATTCTGAAGGGTATTGGATGTCAGGTTAAGGAATTAGGGTTTTATCCTGCTTTTATTCATGCTCTGCTGTCTACAGTTGCTCCTGCTTTTGGTAATTTCCAAAATATAGTTATTATATTATTTTTCAACCCTCTTCCTGATTTACTGTGTTAGGCATTGGGAAGCCATTGAAGATTATTGAACTGAGGCATGAATGACATCATGAAAACTGTTAAAAAAGAGGGAATTGGTGACCATATTCTAGATAGGTTGGAGAGAAAAACAGGGGAACTATTTAGAAAGCTTTAGCAATAGTTCTGAGACAGGTGAGTAGAGCCTGAACTACTTCATTACTAGTTCAGTGAGAATGGAATAGAAGGGAAGCATGATTTTCTTTGGTTGTGAATTAATATTTTTATAGTTGGGTTACAAAGAGGCTTTATGAAAGAAGAATTGATAGGGCTTTGAGGCCATGAATGTAAATGCAAAGAAAAGAATGATGGTCCTTATTAAATCAATTTCAGAGACTGTTCAAACTTGTTAATTACAATGGAAATTTGTATAGAGTTGGATATTGCTATAAGTGTAGGGTTATTATGTCATGGAGATGAAAAACTATTAGTCTTTATAAAGTCATTTATTATATGATCATTTATATTGGTATAGGAGCACATATTAGAAATGTTAAAAGATTTTGAGTGATATTTTATAAGATGCCTCCAAAGAAAGAGATGTCATGCCTTATTCCCCATCTTCCATTTTTATCTAACAAATGATAACAAAGGACTGATGAATTTAGAGATTCTGAATAACTTCTTTTGTTAAGTCATTTCTTACTTTCTAACTAGGAACAAGTGGCATACTCCTTATGGATTAGATAAATTATTGCGTATATTTCAGATTGGTTCCTAAGAAGCACAGTATCAGGTTTATATGCCTTTTAGTAACTAGCAAACTCTTTTAAATCCCTTTTAAAATGATGTAATAAATATATGGAATCTTTGGTAAATATATAATTACAGGGTATGTGGAAAAGTATTTAGGAAATGTGCTATTTTATACTGTATCCCTATAAACTTTTGCTTATATTAAGTGAAAGGTTTGCTATATTATATAAAACATTTCTAAAAAGGGTCATGTTATCTATTGTCCAAAAATTTGCTCTGTTTTGTGGGTAGTCATTTCATAATATACCTAGAAGCAATTTAATTGAAAACCTACTGATGCAATTTGTTTATTTAAATATTTATTTATTTTTAGACAGAGGGGAAGGGAGGGAGAGAGGGAGAGAAACATCAATGTGTGGTTGCCTCTTATGTGCCCCCTACTGGGGGCCTGGCCCACACACAACCCAGGCAATTGTCCTGACTGGGAATCAAACCTGCAGTCCCTTCCATTTGCAGGCGAGCGCTCAGTCTACTGGGCCACACCAGCCAGGGCTCAAGGCCCTAACTTAAATGATACCTTTTAAAGGCATTTTCTTAGCCCAGGATACAAGTACCAACCAAATGGATCTATTTCTTGACTTTTCTTTGCAACTTCCGATTAAGTAGAAGTTAAGTGTTGCAGATACACTATTCTTGTAGTGCATTCTTTGAGACTTTTTGTTCTTGTTTCTAAATATGACCCTAGAAGGTCCCCCTGAAGGTGATAGCACCAAGGATGGGAACTGTAAGGGCAGAACATGGTTCATCAGCTGTATTTAAATGGGTTAATGTGACCTTTGTGGACATAGGCATGTAAGATGGTGAGACCCAGCTGTACTGATGCTAAGGTCTTCTCAGGACT